CATTCATAAAAAATGTGGAAACGCGCCCGGGTCACTTCATTAAAGCCCCCAATTTCAGCTTTAAAGATTGCCAGAAAGCACACCTGAGAACAGGATTTGGAGAGAGGGGGGGTGGAGAGAGTTTTTGCTCTATTTCTTCCTTAATAATGACACAACCACTCTTCCAGTACTTTACCCTCACTAGAAATGACCAAACACACCTACCTGACACAATATTGAAGAAAAAAATTTTCATCCCTACCTGGCCAAAATTGAAGAAAACTGCCATATCCGGACCTTACGAAAATCACTCAAAATCACCCCAAAATGACCCGTCACCAATTTTTCCAAAAAGTGATGAAAATCAATTTACCACACCTGTCATTCATAAAAAAATGTGGAAACGCGCCCGGATCACTTCATTAAAGCCCCCAATTTCAGCTTTAAAGATTGCCAGAAAGCACACCTGAGAACAGGATTGGAGAGAGGGGGAGTTCCTTAATAATGACACAACCACTCTTCCAGTACTTTACACTCACTACAAATGACCAAACACACCTACTGATCTTTATAATGAATAAAAAAAGATGACCCAAAACCACATATTTCCAAATGTAAAAGCACCAGCCATCCTCACAGTTTAGGTCTTCAAAATTACATAGATTCATAAATGTGTCAATATTGAAAAAACTAAAAGATATTACAAAAATTTTGTTTTGGTCAAAAAGTTACACTACCGAAAAACTATTGAGAAAAACCACGAATTATTAATTTTTATTCCCTTTTTATGCATTTGTCTAATGCTCAGTAGGTATGTTTTAATACCTGGAGAACTGGAAAATTGACATCTGTACCCTTTAGCGTACCAAAAGTTACACTACCGAAAAACTGTTGAGAAAAACCATGGATTATCAAGTTTTATTCCCTTTTTATGCATTTGTCTAATGCTCAGTAGGTATGTTTTAATACCTGAAACTGGAAAATTGACATCTGTACCCTTTAGCGTACCAGGGGCATGTGCACTGGTACTGGTAGTTTGACCATCCAGACGGTGTACAGGTGCCCCCTGTTGGGACAGGGATTTGAAGCACATCATATCGCGGTGTTGCTGGCGATATAGAATTAAAACAGAATTTAAACAACATAATCAATGCATAAATCATTAAACGAAATCGCAAGTTACCTCTGTATTTCTGGGTCATACAAGTAAAAATATATGGTGTAATCGAAGTGAAAATGCATTGATTGTATGCTTAAGGTCTCGCTTTTCAAAAAGTAAATCGCTTATGTATCCACAACTTACCGCTAGCCGTAGTCTCTGCCTGTGACCTGCCTAGGCCAATAGCGACTATCAATAAAACACTAAGAGACCATTCCCACAGATATTTAGATTGATCTATCCCCGTGGGGAGTCTCACTAGATTGTAGTCAGCTTAACCAGCTTAAATGTCTGTCCCGCCTTCTAAAAGCTGTAAGGGGGTAATTTACTTTTGTGTGCGCTCGGCTCCCGGAAACTGACAGCAATTTAGCGTGAACCCCAAGGGAGTTATGTCGATCCAGATGGATCGATTTAAATCTGTGGGAACCCAGTCTAAGACACTAGTTCCATCGTTCGCCATCTCTTCAGTCGTACCGGGCCTGAGAAATTCAGTAATACTCTGATCATTCATCTTAAAGGCAATATCAAGGCCATGCGGGTAAAAGAATGGGTATTGTGACAGTGCAATAATTAAAATGTCCAGTGGATTTTATCATCAAAAATAAGGAAAACTGATAAAGTAATATTTTGAAGGTATCCTTTCACCCTAATTATGACCCCAGACGCATACCCATTGGTGTAACTTTTTTAAATTATACATTTTTCTCTGACATTTTGTGCATTTGCCACATTTTATCAGCTTTCAGGAGATATTTTCGCACCTTTGGTATCGTTCATGGTTACATTACTATAAAAACAAAAAATGTGTGTTTTGAAGCAGTGCCATGCATATCAATTCATTTGTTTTGTCTCATAATGACGTCAGATCCAATTGAAAACAACCACGTGTTGAGTTTACCAGACTGTCATTTAACTTTATTCTTTACACTTCAGAGATACTGTACACTTGAAAGTCCAAAATAATACTGCCAAGTGTCTTCACTTGAAATATCTTCCAATAAGTTCAGAGACATGACCACATGGACCATTATATTCTGAGAAGGGCACAGTAAAAAAATAAAAATAACAGCAAATAAATAAATTTGAAAAATTTTGAAAAGAACTCATAAAGCCTATTGCATCCAGCATTGTCAATTTGCTAATGAGCTCATCTTATATTTTCTGGCAAATCTCCCAAGAGTCCATATTGGAAACACATTGCGGTAACTGGTGTAGCTGATAGCACAGGACTTGTTGAAGACACCACTGATGTTCTCCTGGAATGATACAAAGTATAATGGTGACATGGTGTATGGCCATATTAAATGCTAGAGAAGAAAAGGCGCTGCAAACTTTTAAAGCCAAGTTTCAAATTTTTTCCAATTTTTTCATCAATATCATGATGATGTTAGCATTTGGCAATAAATAAAATAAATAAACAGTATGAACATTGGGAGCTGAAGCATTGACTATGTAACTTCTTTAAAGTGGTTAAAACTACAATAAAAATACAGAGTGACTTGGACAAAAAAGTATTTCCATGATGAAGATTGTATAATCAATATACATAATTTGTGACAATCGGCAAAACCTGCAGGGTAAGACAACAGTTTGCTATAGCCATGTCCTCATTTCTGACCTTTAACCCTTAAATATGACCTAATGTCCCCCACTGACCTGTGGCCAGTCGCCATTGTCCAGCTGTCGCTGCATGATCACTCGTATACCACGTTCTATCAAGGCAACATCTGGGTATCTGAAACAGTTGATAAAATTCAATACATTAGAACTGGTGTCACTTCAGTTCTTAGGATAATTTTAAGTAAATCTAAAAACAATTATATCTATCATGTTATCTTACTTTATTTAATTGCCACTTGAAGATAATTTCACTCTTGTATATAACAAACAGTGTGCCATTCATCATGTAACAGACTTATGCCTATAGTCTGGACTTCAAACAGTAAGTTATCAATTGCACTTGTATTTTCGTTGGAAGGGGAATATTTATTTAAACATAAGTAAACATACACGTCTTGTAAGTGAAATGCATGTGCAGTTTTACTGTGCCTAAAACCAGTAATTTTCATCCTCTGCCTACCTCACTGCCATGAGTCCAAGCAATGCCCAGCACGTGTTGACCACCTGTGATGTGTCTGACTGGACGTACTCTCTGAGCTCACACGACTCAAAGTTCTCCCCCCAGCCCCCATCTGCCATCTGCTTGGAGATGAGGAAATTGCACGCTTTTCTCACTTCAGGTGGAACATTTCTGAAAAAGAATCATGGTTTAAGAATAAATTGTTGTTTTTTCTTTTGGTTTCTGCTGTAGTATTTGATAAAGCAAAAGTAATTTGTGATGCTGTCTAACATAAAAGGCAATTATGTAATTCAGTAAAAATCACACAGTTGTTCTGGAATTAGCTATCTTTGACCCCATTCCCATAGATTTTAGATCCATCTATCCCTGTGGGGAGTCTCACTAGATTACTGTCAGCTTGGCCGGCTTAAGCGTCTGTCCCGCCTACTAAAAGCTGTAAGGGGGTAATTAACTATGGTGTACGCTCGGCTGACTGCAATTTAGCGTGAACCCCCAGGGAGTTAGGTCGATCTAAATCTAAATCTCTGGATTGATCTAAATATCTGGGAATGCACCCTTAGACTCAGTTAAAGTAAAACTCAGTTAAAGTTAAACTGAAACAATAAAACAAACAAAAGGACATAAGCCCAATCCCAATATTGCACATTCCAAGCAAAATGCACAATATACTACCTCTTTTGCATAGTTTCATTATAGAATTGTGGGGCAACTAAAATTACACATTTTGCTGGAAATCAGTCAATTTCTGATATCATAACAGGATGCAAAATACTATCAAAGTAAGGCACATGGCTGCTGTAGATTCTATAGGGCACCAGTACTTACTCTGTATCATATCTGTATCCCATTGCAGCAAATGCCTCTAGACCAAACCAAGTACCATAGGTGAAACACACTCCCCATGACCTGCAACAAAACACAGTCAAAAGTAAATAAATACAAAATAATATGTTCCTCACATAACGAAAAGCATCTAAATATATGCAATTATGTACCTGGGCTGGTAAGGCACTGTTAAATACAAGCCTCTAAACCATAAATTATGCTTAATTTTAGACAAATTGAATGCATAAACGCGTAATACAGTGGTCACTTATTGGAAATGCATGATGACTTTAGCCTGGTCTAACACTTAGCCGGCCTTAAAAGGCAGATTTTCCATGTTTTTTTTTTAAACTTAATATGCTTTAAGCTCCTCGTGACCAGAAAGCATTATGCATGATACTCAAATGCATGATAACACAAATATACTAACGAATAAATAAATAAATAAATAAATAAATAAATAAATAAATAAAGTGGAGATTTGTACACACAGACAACACGTACCCTTCCCATGACCCATCATTCCTTTGTTTACTCTTCACATACTGGAGGCCAGATTCTAATGTTTGCCTGGAAACGAAAAAGCAAAACTGTGTAAAAATGACATTTCAAAATATTCTGTACAGATATGAGGAAAGAGACCTGGCAGTTCCTTCAATTAAACTATACTATCAGTTATTACATATGGATGACCTGTGTCTGTGTTGCTTCCATTCTTACAGGCAAGACTCAACATCATATGCTAAAATGCAAAGTTTACAGCAAACATTGGAATCACTAATTTTGCTATCCCTTTTTTCAATCAGTAATTCCACACTTTTAAAGGTTGCCAATAATTAACCTGTACATGAGCATTTATGCCAAAAAGATCATTTTTGTGATCTTTAGTGAGCTGTTGTTTGTCATATATACACATGTAGTAGGATAAATTGATGGTTTTTCTAACTCAGAATTCCCCAGAGGATTGCGTGCTTTTTTTCTCTACATATTCTTATTACAAATAAAAAAATGCAACAGATATACAAGAAGCATTGCACATGCTGGGGTAGCACTAGCAATTTTTTTCACTTAGCCAAATCACCACATTTTCACCACACCACAAATCACCACAGGTTTCCACCTCTCTTACCGTATCTCTTCAGTTCTGTAAGCTGGGTACTGGGAAGTGAAGTGTTCTAATGACTGCATAGAGGCAGAGGTACACTCCACATAGGTATAGTCTATCATGATGTCACCTGGAATAAAAACAAATGTCAGTGCATATCAACCGGAATAAATAACTTAGAAAATTTAATGGTAACTGCTGTTTAAAGTTAACTTTAGTTCTTGACAGAGAAAGTATTGTATCTGCATCTATTGTATCTATTGTATTTGTTTGAATGCCTTCCTGTTCAAGACTAACATTCACCAAAACATAAAGAGTCTTAGACCCCATTCCCATAGATTTTAGATCGATCTATCCCTGTGGGGAGTCTCACTAGATTACTGTCAGCTTAGCCGACTTAAGCATCTGTTCCGCCTACTGAAAGCTGTAAGGGAGTAATTAACTATGGTGCAGGCTCTGCTGACTGCATAGTGTGAACCCCCAGGGAGTTAGGTCGATCTAAATCTAAATCTCTGGATTGATCTAAATCTCTGGGAATGCACCCTTAAAAGAACTTTTCATCTTCTTACCAAACACTTCAGAAGGATTAAGTAACTCTAGGAGCTTTCCACCCCTTGTGGTTTCATAAGTGGCAAATCCACCATCTGCATTCTTCATGCTAAGTAACTAAGAAATTAAAATTCATCGGTACTAAAAATTGTGATTAATAATTTAAAATATACTTGTCAAGTTGATATATTATTTTAACAATTAATATTAACAGTACATTAATATAGTTCTTTAAACCTGTTCTTGGACTTAATATGTAAAAAAGTCAGGCAAGTGTGTGTGTGTGTGTGTGTGTGTACGTTTGTGTGCAAATATGTGTATGTGTATGCAAGTGTGTGCTACCTACCACATCAACAGCCTGGTACAACTTCTCCTCTGAGACTGTCTGCATGAGGAAATCACACTTCTCCTGCAGCAACATGACTCCCTTCAGTCCCTCTGCAGTGCAGTCAGTCACTATCCAGCCACAGTCCCTGGTGCTGAATGGGAAGCCCCCCTAGAATTCAAAATACATGTGGCATCTGAAATGAAGACCCAGCGACATGTTGTACTTTTAATTATAAATGATAAGCAATAACATAACAATTGTACCTTATTCTGATGTCTGTAAATCTTCTGATACTCTGGAGGATTTTCTTCTATCTGTGTATTTTTCAAAAATTTGTGAGCATGGTTCAAGCCATTTTGGAAATCTCGGTATTCAAATGCTTCAGCCTGAAAAAAATATATGGATTAGACAATGAAATAAATTTGGCAAATAGTAATGATGTCTTTATTGCATATTTGTTCATCCACCAGATTGTGAATTCCAAGTTAAATTACAAAAAAGTCTACTTTCAACTGGTCATAAACTGAACCTACAGAATTTAAATAACAATAGTATCAAAAAGTTTAAAGGCTAAAGGATGTATTACATTCTAGTTTTTCACCTCCATAAAAGCTTGCACAATTTACCTCCATAAAANAGACCTCTGGCGGAGGGATCGACCTTCCGACTTTGAGCAGTGCAGTGGTTTGTTTACAAACAAGGGTGTGCACGTGTTCAAGTACTGCATGACGATATGAAAATTACCGGTAACCTTTTGCAGTATATTTTTGTGTCATTGGCAGTTATGTCAGTGAGTCTGCTGTCTATAAGGTTACGAAATATTTCACCAAATTGCGGCCGTCAATGGGAATTTGAATTATTTGTCGATATAAAAGTATTACAATATAAACTGATATTGTCGAAGCCATTTGCCCGTAGCTCCTTATATAGGCCTCACATTTCAGAATAAATCACATTTATGTTGCAGTGCTAATACATGTATTAACATTTAAAACACATTCTTAGTGCAACAATTATTTCTTGTAATTACAACGTTTAAAACATAACATGACAGATAAATGGTCTTAATAAATATCGTAAATAATAATAATAATAATAATAATAATAATAATAATAATAATAATCACCGTCTGCAGCCGCCACGCCCCGTTTGTGAGCTATCTTGACACAGTTTGAAATAACGCGGGTTCTCGAGTCAGATTCGAGATGTAAACAAACACATGAGTGAAGAGAGACCATGCATGTTAAGAGAACCTTAACAGGTAAGCAAGTTATATTCACTATGAGCAGTTTTCAGATACATGTAAGAAGGTACCACGTGGCGGGGAAACCAAAATGTCTGGTAGTTGAATGTAAATAGCGTAGCGTAATTGCTAACGTTTCGTCTTGTAACGCGATGATTGGGTATTGCTATACAAAATGTACATACAGTATGTAGGCCTACTAGTTTAAGAACATGGTTACGCGCTATCTCACCTACTGAAATATTTAATGTTTACTGGATACTGTAACTGAAATGCAGTTTTGTGACTCACAGTTTATTCCTAAGGAAGAAGCCGAATAATCTAGTCTTTTCATGAAACACACAAAGATTTCAGGATCATGTTAGCCTTTGCTAATAACCCCTTATTTACTACCTTATATACATTCTTTTGGGTAACAGATAAATCTCCAGTGTTCAGTGACTAAATTAATTGACATTTACACACTTGTCATCTTACTTAAATACAGGTGATGTCATGATTGTGATTTTGGGCTAAAAATTAAAAAAAAAATTGGTATCTGAATGTTCACAAAACATGACAATTTTTTTTTGCTAATACGAAGTTACATGAATAAGGAGCATTTTAATCTTTGTGTTTCTGGTTTTGTAACAGTATGTAGTGAAATAGAACTGTTTACTGTACTGCATGTACTGTGCTATGTATTTGTGTACTATATGTTAAGCCGCATATATTGCTATGCACATGAATATGAACAATAAAGTAGTGTATGGCGCGTTGTTTCAGACCCTTCATCATGGCTCCTTGTTTTATTTATTCAGGTTTGAAATGGTATGTGTATGGCAAATATGTGTATGGTGAGTGATATTATCTGGAAATTATTCCCACTTTCCTCACATGTAAAGTAAGTTTTGTACAGACAGCTTGTTCAAAATATTCCATATTTATATAAGTTGACAACTGCTGATTCCCTGTGTTTAAAGAAGGTAGTTGCCATTTCCAGGTCCTATCGTACTAACTGTGGATCGATCTACATGTATCTCCAAGGGGAGTCTAGCTAAATTGCAATCAACTTTAGCAGCCTTAGATGTCTGGCACGCGTAATGAAGCCGTTAGGGGGTAATTAACCACAAGTATCATTTAGCAGCTTCAGTATGCTTGCTAGATATCTAAGCTGCTTAAGCTGAAAGCAATTTAGCAAGAAACCTTTTGGCAATGGAATGAGCATGTTAGATCGCTCTAGGTATGGGAACCCAGTCTAGGTCACGAAATGAATATATGCATCAGCAGGACCATCACCGTCATTATTCGGATATTGATTTATTCTTGGTTTCTTTTAGCTATACTTTGCTCAGTTGAGGCTGACGTCCACTCCCAAGTTCATCCCTAATCCCAAATTTAGCAGTGTTCAAAAATCTGGTTCAGAGTGAGTATCTTTTGATTGTGCTTAAATATCTGCACTAGATTTTGTCAAACATATTATATGTATAAGGCTTGCTATGTATGCTTTTTATTTGATAATGGGGAACATATTTGGTTAAACATCATTACAATAATTATAATTTTAAGTAAATAAACTTATTGCAAATGTGTTATTTAAGCTTTAATTAAATGGATTAATCTGAAAGTTTAACTTTAAGTTAATGGATGTTTTGTTTTTCAAGTGTAACCATGTCTAGGTATAATAAGAAGCAACGGCTGGAAGCAATGGTTCTTATGTTCAGGCTTTGACCAGTAGCCCTAAACCACAAAAGAGGAGAGCTGATAAAGAGGCAAAAAAGCTGAAAATGTGAGAAGATGAGGATGTGTTGGAAGCACAATACTGTACATTGTTGCTAACTACAAAATATGGGATGTGTTGGAAGCAGAAGTTGTAGATAAAAGAGAAAAAAAGCTGAATGGCAATGTAATGGAGAAGGAAGGGGTTGTTAGAGCTATGGATGTCCTGAAAAACAAAGGAATCAATGTAACAGAAGTTCTCACAGATGCCCAAGTTGCACACTTAGGCAATACATGCCATTTAGGTCTTACTATTATAATTAGAAAGCAAATTCATAATGTGAAATGTGAATACAGTACATGTCATGTATGTGATTATTAAGTTACAAATTTTTGATATATATCCATTTAATTTTATGTAAACTCAATATTCCAGGAAAAAATTGAACTGGGATAAAACATTTATGGGTTATTTAGCATGGGGCAAAAAATCTTGGAAAGAAGAATCTGATATCACTGTGAGTAGATATGCATCGATCTAGCATGATCGACCCATCTCCGAGGGGATTCTGCCTAAGTTGCATTCAGATAAAGGACATAAAGTGACCTAGATGTCTGGCATGTCTACTGAAACAACTAAATGATTGTTAATTACTTCCTAACAGCTTTGGTAGGGGTGCCAGACATCAGAGCCACTTAAGCAGAGATAGGTTGATCCTGCTAGATTGGTCTAGGTATGGGAATGGGATCTAACACTGATCAGATATCAGTCTTTATTCAATCAAGGCAAAGTCTATAAAGAAAATTCATTTTTACTTCCAGTCAAAATGGAGNCTAACAGCTTTGGTAGGGGTGCCAGACATCAGAGCCACTTAAGCAGAGATAGGTTGATCCTGCTAGATTGGTCTAGGTATGGGAATGGGATCTAACACTGATCAGATATCAGTCTTTATTCAATCAAGGCAAAGTCTATAAAGAAAATTCATTTTTACTTCCAGTCAAAATGGAGAGGTGTTCTACCATCACATTCAAAATGAACATGAATCGTTTTTAGAGATGGTCGGGGGAAGCACAATGTCAGCATGAACCTATCCCACCAGAGGCTGAGAGGAACAAACCATGGCTAGAACCTAGGTGACATGCAGTTCCGGCACTGGTAGAAACTGTTCTTAACAAGAGGTTTCAAAACAACTTATCTCAGGTTATTAACACCGGTAATATACTTGTAGCAAAATTAGCATATTATAGAGGATCCAAATGTAGTTTTTGTAATGTAGTTAAATCACAAAGAACTTCTCCAGACCCATAACTTGTTTAAGAAAATGTTTAAGGACTAGCTGCTGTTATCTTAACAAGATGACAAGATGGGAAGCCCTTTTTTAAAGAAAGTTCTACTTGTGTTTTCTTAGCTGTGTGCTGTTTTGTCTTACATGTAGACTCTGTTAATACTGTGATGGATACTGTACCTACGGCCCGTATATATTCAAGTATGTTCTAATTTATGCTAAGAATCATTGTTAAACGACTACTGTAGGGTAGGAAAATGGTAGAACCTTGATTTATAAAAATCACTATATAAAGTTAAATCTATACAAATGTAGTAAGAGGCATTTTCAATTTTATTGCTGACACAGGATCTATTGAAAACATCAATTTACATGTTTTGATGTATTGTTCAAAACGGAACTTGTTTAAACCACTTGGCTACAGAGCTAGAAGCTACACTGTATCTGGTTGTGATACACTACCAAGAGCACAAGGATAGGCAGGCAACAATTAAAGTGGCTGGTACATTCAGGTAGTGTTCATTCTGAAAGGGATTTCAGATCATGATTGATTTCTTTATGATGCAAATAAAAAAAATGTACAGTATTCATTGCAATTTGATACAGTCTGATGGATTGAGAAATGGCTGTTCACTTCTTTTCTGAAATACTGTCAACTGTTAAAATGTTTTGAATGAGATTTTCCCATGTTTCTTGAAAGTATAAAAGCATAATCTAAGAGCAAAGGAAGAATTAAAACAAATGTTTTCATTCTGAAGTTTGAGTTATAATTAGCTAGACAGGGGCGGATTTAGGGCGTCTTCTGGGTGTTCTGGAAGACGGTCAGATTTTCAAGTTTACATTGGCGGGTATCTTATTTTTTCTGTCAGAAGACGGTCAAAAATGAAGAACGGATCAACAAAGATAATTTGGAAGACTGTCAGGAAATAATTCTGAATATGCCCCTGCTAGATGATTTGATCCTCTTCAGCAAGCACATAAGGGCATGGGTGGCCTATCCAGTAGGTGGGGAAAAAGATATTAAGATATCATTACATTCCCACATTACAGTCTCATGCAGTGACATATTGGCCCATATGGCAGCACAGATGCAACTTGAGCCATGGGACCCAAGGAACCTCAGTCCAAATTCTGTTTAGTGATTATATATTATGTATGACTTGCAATGCCCAATACAAGAAGACGTAACAAATTAGTTAAACTGTTTTGTAGTTTTGGTTTGTCATGTATGTAAGACCCCATTCCTACAGACACACCATCAGTCCATGTGGATCAACCCAGCTCTGCGGGGTCTCTCGCTAAGTGCAATCAGCTAAACAGATTGATATGCCTCCTCTTGTTTCCAACATACTCATATGATACATTTTGGACTGACAGCTAGAAGAAACCTCTGTATATTTTCAAAAAGATATTATGAAATTTCTACTTGCGTCAAATGAGAATCTTGTTCGTTTTATTGGACCAGCTGGGCGCACAACACTAAGGCCCAAGAACCGGCGCGTTATCTAACGTGACATTATCCTAACTTGAAGTCCATTTTTTTTTTTTTTTTTTTTTTGCAAATTAGATCGTTAAAAACGCAAAATTTCGCTTGGGAACCAGGTTAATCGGATTCAGCATCCCAAAATTATGCCAATAAGCCTGGTTCCCAACTTTTACCCCAAAATGCCCCTTGCTTCTTATGCAGAGCCTTTTTTCAAAAATCTCACTAGACTATAATTACAGTAGGAATTGGTGATAATTATGCAGGTAAATGTTGTTTAATATTGCAAGTAAGTTTACAGAAGAAAAAAAATTGTGTAACGCCAACATTAATGCTATAGATGAATAACAGTGCCTTATTCATATCATGTTAATATAGCAAGATTAAAAGTTTGAATAGCAGCTTTATTGGAATATTTTTGTTATGTTTTCTTTTTAATTTTTTTTTTTTCAAACACTGGCATTTCAACTCCCATCCACCTGAAGCTCTTCACTTTTTCTGTACTATTTCTGCTTTTTGTCTGACAGCTTTTCTGCCTTGTTATGATTATTTGTTGACTCTTTTTAATGAGACATTGATAGTATTTTATTATTAATTTAAAAATTACAAAAGGTCGTCTCTGCAACCACAAAAATCACCGGTGCTGTTTGTTTCGGTATACCAGAAAGTTCACATGGTGACTATTTAACATGGTTATTATTGATTTAACGGTAGACCTGTACCTGTTAAACAAATATATTTTAATTGACACGTCACCCAGAGACATTCACATACATGCATTGCACATATCTGCTTCACGGCCACGGCAACCGTCCTCTACAGATTGCGGGGGAGGGGGGCACGCATATAGTCCATATGATTTTGAAATACTGCAAGGCGGTCAAAAAAAAAACCTATGTTATTGACTTAGTCAGAGTTACTGACGATCAATAAACTCTAGCCGCTATTGACAGCACATAAATCTTCGGCTGTAGTTCACAGAACAAATTGCCAGAATCAACAACAATAAATATTTCATTGGAATGACATGCACTAATTCACTATTTTCCATTTCCGAGGGTCTAAGTTGAGAATGTCCTAAAGAATCTGCTGGCCTTGGAACGAATTTTAAATCCATTAGTTAAAATAGAGTCTGCTACGAAAAGACAAGTAGGCACATTCTAGATATACCAAAATTATATATCATTGAAATATATGTATGGAGGCCGTTGCTATACATGATGTCGATGCGACAGCAGAGGACGAGCTTGCATTTAAAAAGAATGATGTACTTAAGGTAAGTCCTAGTATTGATCAAGGAGGTAAACATACGAGAGATGGAATCCCTTGGTTTGATCGTGTGTACATGCGATATTACTATCTATTAGGATAAAAGATAAGGTATGGATGGAGTTCGGTACAATGAAAAGAAAAGAATGATGCTCGTTTTGCTAGGTGCCAATCAAAATCGGCATTTCTTGATCAGTGTTACATTAAATGCTGGTGACGAAGGACATTTGCAAGGCAGAGGCACTATGCAACCACTGAGAGCTCGGTGGCAGATAACATTTCTCTTCGTGTCAGAAATCAAAGCAGGTGTATGAATGTCTGCGTAAACTGACATTGCAGAATTCGGTAAAGGGTTGTTTTGTGGAGGGAAATTCTTCACTGTGAAAGAGAATTTTTAAAATGCAATACGGTATATTTTGCAAATAAAAATGTGTAATATGAAATAGGCCTATGTTTGTTTAGAACTTGGAATGAGCCCCTTTTTTGAAGGGATAATGGCTTAACGCGCCTTTGTTCGTAAACCCATCGTTCACTTTTGAAAATGCATGATAAAAAGCAACTTATTCAAAGCAAATTAATAACATTTCAGATATTATGTATGAATGAGCAATACTGGTATAAAGCAGAATTAAACGGAAAAGTAGGAATTGTCCCCAGCACTTCAGTTGAAATGAGAGATTACGAGTAAGTGTTGCATTGCTCTTTTCAATATTATGCGTGTTTTGGGTTGGAGTCGATGACTGCATTGAGGTTTAAAGGCTAGGGAAAAGGTTAAAATGATAAATTCATTCCCCGCAACCTCCATTTCGCAGGAATCTGAAACATACGAGGGTTCACAGAAACCACTATTGCATTTGTTGATTATTATTACACTTACCTCTGTCAAGGGGGTTATACTTTACTGTAAATTTGTTAGTCAACAGCCTAACTCAAAAGGTTGTGGATGGATATTGATTAAATATTCAGGATGGGTCAGAAATAGGCCAACTTGAAATCATTTGAGTGGTACTCAGTTATTTAATTAATCAACTATTTAATTAATTGGAAATTAGAATTGAACTGCACTAACAGAGGTGTGCTCTCCGAGTGCTTTTTTTAAGTTAATGATATTACGACATAAAAGAATCTTTCTGTCTAACGATGCATTTCGTAAAGTGTAGAAGGGTGCAATAGTTCCTTCTATTCAACTTTTTATTAACAAATCACACGGTTAAATAATTTGACGTCGGGCTTAGATTGTGCTTGAAATTTAATTAAAAATTGATAATCAACTTACACGTTTCAACATTTTATAAGGAAAAAAATGCCCCTTTTATCAATTTTAATTATATTCACAATCTTTCTAATTACAGCTGGTTTTTTGGTCCAATAAATCGTGAAAAAGCAGAAGAAATTTTACTTGAAAGAAAAGCAGATGGAACCTATTCTCAACCAGATGGTGCTTTCTTAGTAAGACATGATGAAAGTTCTGAAGGGAAATTCTCTGTTTTAGTCAAGTTAGTATACAGCATCATAAATCGTTTGTTTGATATGCCATCAAAATCAAATAGTATTTCTGAATCAATGAATTAGCATTAACAAGGTACATAGTATCATACAGTCAAGCATGAGCATTTCATGTTTTGTTTCTAGATTTCTGTTATTATTTAGAATATATCTGCTCACATTTATACACAGTAGGAAACGGCCAACGCTCTTTGTATCCTCTGCTCTGCGCTCTGTCAAATATTTTCCCATAAACGCTCTGGTATGAGAATCGCAAGAAAAATGTGCAAAAGAGCATTCGACATCACGCGCAGAACCAGTATCTTTGGGGAGCTACATTGTGCACGTTCTTGGCATTGAGAGAATTTGCCTGTGATACACTCGCGGTTTAATCATTTTTTTTATATCTTTTTGCAGATTGGGTGAGTCTGTCCAACAGTTTAAAGTGCTCTCAGATAACACGGGAAGATATTCCATTTGGGGGAAGAAGTTTAACTCCTTGAATCAGGTTCTAGAGCACCACAGAACTACCTCTGCCAGTACAACGCGGGCAGTTCTCCTTAAAGACATGTTTTAGAGTCCAACTTAAACTATTGTCATTTAATAAATTCATCTATTTTTTGTATCTTTAAATCTTTTGAGAAGTCATTACGAATGGCAGCACCATTACGTGCTACACAATGATTAAATGAACAGAATTATCACAGTACTGTATGGATAGCTTGATATTTTGTTTTATTATCTGCATGCATTTTATATTTTGTGTCAACATATTTTTCCATTGTCATTACTGCATATAATCGAGGGTCCATCAATCTAACAGGACAAAAGAGCGCGCGGCCTTCTGCCTTTAGACGCGACTTCGAACAGAAAGAATTATTGTTCTGCTTTAGTTGTTTGCTGGGTCCTTACTCCTACATGTAGGGCCTACATTTATCTTCTTTAGAAAAATAACGTTGCATTTTAGAAACATTTAAATTTTTTTTCATGTATGAAAATTGCAAATAAAAACATCTTTTTCTTACTTTGTATATATTGTGCGTCTACAGATGTATTTTATCGGGTGCGTAAAACAACTACTGCAATATTCCATTTCGTACATTAGGCCTAATACACAACACAATCTTGACCTTCCTTACAGGCTGTTACAATGTAAATGTATTATGAAAGTAGTATACTACAATACACATAGGATGGCCCTCATGTACGGCGATAATTTTATTTGCTAAAGGGGCAAATAATTTTTTTCAATGATATATCTTTGTAAAGAAAATTGTAATTCAATCCATTTAACGTTTTTGGAGAGCTGATATGCGCATGTATAAATATCTCAATATATATAGAGTATTAGGGCCTACACATCTAAACACAAAAAGAAATTAAATGAATGAGTTGCCATATGTAATAATAATGAAAAGGTCAAGTTCAAATCATCATATAACAATGTCCTATATGTATCCCAAATAGTCTCGTTTTTCTCCCTCAAGAGCTGTTCTCGCCTCGGTTGCTTTTCGTAGTTTCTGGCCCGTCAATTTCACAGCGCTTATTGTCTGCATTACTCTGGTGTAAGAACTTCCATCTCTGCCCTCCAGAAGGTTAGCGAGTTCTCTGAGCGTTATCAGAAATGTCTCTATGTCCCCCTCGGTAAGGCAGCCGACGGTGGAGGAGGCCACAGACAAACGGCCGAGCAGTAAACCAAGGAACTCGGAGCAGCCGTGTATTACCTGGATAAGATTTGTGGCCTGGAGCAGAGTTTGATGAAGTGCTTCATTTTCATGTTCGATTTTACGAAATTCTTTCAGCAGTTGGTGATGTTGTCCTTTCAGGTGTCTTAAATCTTTTTCCAGTAAAGAGAGGTCGCTTTTGATATTGCGCAGACTCTCTTTATGGGAGTTTACCTGACTCCTAAATTCCCTCTCCATTTTATTGCAACGGTCTATAGTTAAAGCAAGCTCTGTTATAGCTTTCGCAGTGAGGATCCCCCCTACTATTTTTACGGGCATTCCGACCTCAGGTATTATCATGGCTACTGCGCTGGCTATGCCTGTTATTACAGCACCTGCCTTTGCTATTTTGAACTTATTTTCTGCCTTACTTTTATTTTTACTGGTAATGTTGAGCAACTCTTGAACGTCACGTGATGCACATTCTTTTGAGTTTATGTTGTCTTTCATTTGTTGCTGTCGATGTTCGTTTTCGGAAATCCTCTGCAGTTCTTCCTCCATCTCTTTCCATAATATGTTGAAGACAACAAAGTGGACTTCCATACGCTCGTTGACTTTGCTTTGGATCTCCTGAGTGTCTTCGAGCGAAATCTCGATAAAAACTTGGGCTTGTTCCAAGTTGGAAGTAATGTCATCAGTGCTAGAAGATGGCTCTACGATAAGCCCGGAGACGTCACACAGGTATTCCAGACCTTGGAGAAAACAGGGGAATACGTCTTCGACTTTACACCCGTATTGCTGGTCCATGGTTGACGATGGGCCCTGAAAAGTGGAATTTTTCTATCTAGAGTTACCGCAAGAAAGACAATCCCTTTGAAATTAAAAAAAAGTTTACCATTATCAGGAACTAGCATTAAACAGTAACAAAAAAGAAGAAGCATAATAAACCACGGAGAATAATTCAATATTAGGACTGAAAATACTGACAAATTAATACAAAACGGTTAAATACATGAAAAAAAGAGCATGGATTGACGCTTGATTCCGTTTTTAACTGTACCTTTCGTTTATAATTATCAATTTATGAGACAACTCCCCAGCCCAATGTCCACCAGTGGTTTGTATTGCCAAAATCAACCTGCCCTATCTATCTGTCCCGATAGCTGTTTAAGTACCTATTAGATTTTCTCCGCCCACATGACTGACATGATGAGTCACCAAAATTAACTCCGGGGATTTTTTCTACTACAATGTGGAGGAAGAGGGATCTTGGGAAGAATGGGATATACAGCCATTAAATCCGTTATCTCCCTCTCTCTTTCGTTGTGATATATATATATATATATATATCAGCAAGGTTTGTTAGGTGTCTACGTCAGCATATGATACTAATTAATAACGTATCAACAACGATGTCGAAGGAGATTCAATAGTACTAATATTCACAATTTAGAGAAGTAACAAAAATATTCACATTACAAAAATATTCACCTATTAGATTTTCTCCGCCCACATGACTGACATGATGAGTCACCAAAATTAACTCCGGGGATTTTTTCTACTACAATGTGGAGGAAGAGGGATCTTGGGAAGAATGGGATATACAGCCATTAAATCCGTTATCTCCCTCTCTCTTTCGTTGTGATATATATATATATATATATATCAGCAAGGTTTGTTAGGTGTCTACGTCAGCATATGATACTAATTAATAACGTATCAACAACGATGTCGAAGGAGATTCAATAGTACTAATATTCACAATTTAGAGAAGTAACAAAAATATTCACAGTGGTGAGCCTAAATAGTTGGCTTATATCCCAACTAACATGGTTTTAGCATCGCTACACTGGAGGGCATTTGATTATCGAAGTCTGTTTAATCACATCACATTGGAGAATAAACGTCATCAGGCATTAAAAGTGGGTCTAAATCAATATCAGGATATGAATGTGAAAATAATAACAAATAACCCAGTTAAAGTCATAATAACTCTTCGTTTTGGCCAAAAATACGATTTTCCTGGAAAAAACGGCAATTTTCCCGTACTTACCAATGGTCAACGACCCCATTCCTGCATTCAAAGTTAATCCAGGGTTTTTTTCCTAAACGTACGGTTTTTTGTTAAAATCTCTTAAGAGATTTTAACTGACGGAGCCCTTTCGTATCGAGCGATAGTTTCTGGTGACCTATTTAAAAACGCGGGAAAAGCAGACAAAAACAACACTATATAACAATATTATAAGATTCATAAGATATATTCGCTTTTTTGCTCAAAATGCATTTATATCTACAATGGGTGCAATTCTGGGCTTTTCGTTATCCGACGCACTGTACAAAAACTCGCAACTTACGTCTGAGGGTTTCCCGCTATGTTATTTTGGTCTCGAATGAACGCGAGAATCCGCGTGACGCCTAAACGTCATTGGCAACGGATGCACTTGTCGACCGCGAAGAAAGGCATCGAAAGCCCAAGTGACAAGCACAGATTTTAGTTTTACTACAATAACAGTCGTTTTAGTGGGAAAATGCAATAGAATATATTTCCAGGCGTTGTTTACAATGTATTTCTTGCGGAATTTTGAATCTCAAAGGAAGAGTTATTATTGCTTTAAGCATGTTTGGAAAGAAATTTGACGTTTTGGCAATTCTCTGTTTACAAATCGACACTCACCTCGTGTCTTTGGATCAGAACAATAACAAGACCAAGCTCAGGCCTAACCAACTACCAGACTCGGCACCTACGGATCCAGAATAAACCGGTATATCAAACCACACTACCCGTTTTCAAGGTGTGTGTCAGATCGCACTACCGAGTATCAGCCACCACACCGATTTTGCCTGGTGCGCGATGTGATAGCGATGATCCTAGTAATAGATAGACCCCGAGTCAGCGAGGGTTATGTGGCATACACGAGTGCGAAGCACGAGTGGGTTACATAACCCTCGCTGACGAGGGATCTATCTTATTTAGACCACGGGTCCATTAGCGGGTTATAACGCATTCATGCGAGACGTGCGGTTATGCGAGTTACACCACGTCTGAATCTTTTGTTCTTCACTTCCACCGTGGTCTAAAGCGGGGTTGGAAAGTAGTGCATCTCATCTAGATTCATGCGCTGCTGCAATTTTCCCTGTTTATGCTAAAAAATCTGACAATACCGCAATTTTTAACATAAAATTTAGGTTCGAACATAGCCAATGATGTTTTGTAAATAAGAACTTGCAAACTTATATATTCATTTAGAAAAGTAGACCTAATTTTGATAGCGGAAGCATATTCTGTCGGGGGTTAAATATTTTCTGGACGAGATTCCGTGAGTCGTCTGTCGCCATGTTGTCACTCGGAACTATACTCCGATGTCTCCGCACTCGACAATAGTATGGAGCTTGCGGAATGAGCCGAGGATTGCCGATTTCCATGTTGTTGTATTCATACGACCCCTACTTGACGAAAACGAGGCGCGATACCCGGATGACAGGTAGGCTCACAAAATTTGTGATGGGGTATGATACTCTGTAATGCGATCTGACACACACCTTGAAAACGGTTAGTGTGGTCTGATATACCGGTTTATTCTGGATCCTTAGGTGCCGAGTCTGGTAGTTGGGTAGGCCTGAAGCTGTTCATCAAAACAAATATCAAAATAAATGTCAGAAAGTCAAGCTGGCACGATTTGAATCTAGATAAAGAATACATACATGTACTGCGTGCAGCAACGATGGTTAAATTTATACCTCTATCAATACATTACTCATCTGTCTCCCAAGAATAAATGTTAAATTAAGCTAAAAAAATAATGATAGAAAAAAATTAACACGCGGTAACAGGAGCAAACTCGAGGAAACATTTTCTTAAATGGGGGTGGTGGTTGGGGTTGAGGTGAAATTTATGAACGAATTTAAAGGTAAT